AAAAATAAATAATGGTTTTAAAAACTAAAAACACATTAATTAATATTTACATACAAATTATACATTATATTATATTTACACAGGGTGCTGCAGTTTTTTATTTATTTATAACTGAAAAAGTAATAAATTGTTAACTTAATTATGCCTCGTTCCTATAAATAAAATATCAATCCTTATTAAGGATTCCTTAATATTTACTAAATTATATTATTTAGGATTAATTACTTTTTACAATCAATACCCAACGGAATATTTATAGTTTATAGTATAGATCATCCTTACTAAATTTAAAAAATCCCTGTAGGTTTGGCATAAAAAGTATAAAATAATAGTATATTGTTTAACGATTGAAAAAGTTCGCCATTTCCATGAGGAAGAAATATTGCGACACGAGCCGAAGGCAAGTGTAGTAATTCATCCGAATGGATATGGCCATTTTTTAAGAGTTTTTACTTTTATTAAAGAATTTAGTACAATTTTGTGTAGGTAATTACCATAACCACAGATTCAATGACAAATGTCAGTGTCAATTAATTTTTAAGAAAATAATCATGTATTATATTACGAGAACTATGAATTTAATCGGTTAAACTAGGCTCAGTAGTTTTTTGTTTGGTTTTTGTTGGAAAATGTTGAATGCAAAATAATTTAATAAAATCACGAGACCGCGTAGCGGTCGAGGGGTTTTATTTTTAATTATTTTGCATGAAACTATTTTCCAAAAAGAAAAATCAAATAAAAAACTTACTGAGCATAGTTTGACAGATTAAATTTATAGGTTGAGTGATATACGTCTAGATTATTTCTCGAATTAAAGGAAACTATTTGACAATTCATAAAATCTGACGTATGTGTCAAAATTTATAAATATTTTCCATTTCCATTAATTTAAGGTATGTAATAAGTAATAATTAATATTTTGTAAACTAGATAACTTATTTTTTATTGTTTTTTTAAAATATGTTTGTTAAAACTTGTAAATAACGCCATAAAATCGTAAACAAAAATCCAATATGGAGGCTAAAATTTAATCGCTGTTAAATAGTTCTAGTGATTTAATCGCTTATTTAAACGAAATTTATTCGAAAATTCAAGGCTTTTGATTGGTTCATATTATAATGAGAGAAATAATCAAAGTAATGATAAATACTACCGTGGAGAAAATTAAAATCTCGAGACTCCAGACTGAGCAACTTTCTTAATTGAAAACGTATAGAAAAAGTACAAATTCATTATATGAATAAAAAAATAATATGTTTGTGTTGTTATAGCGAATGAGTCATTCCTTACTTTCATTTGTTAAAATTAAGTAAGGATAAAAATACTTTTAGTAAATTAAAAAAAGGTGAAAATTAAAAATAAAATTGTAACAATGGCTTTAATCAGGAATAATTTTTTGTTTTCCATTATCCTAAAAGGAAGCAGACAGGCGATTTTCTTTCACCCTTTTTTCTTAGGCTTTTGTTGTCAGTAAAAACTTATTTATGTTTCTTTTCTGAGTATATTAAAATTTTCCATATAGTTAAAATATCAATAACCTTGATGAATCACTTTTTACTGTCCTTAATCATTGCAAATTTATTCAATTTGTAAATTTCATAATTAGTAAACATTGTGTTTTCGTTTTTAAACAATTTCATGCTCGTCAAAAAATATTCCAAATTGGTTTTCCAGAACAAGTATTTCTTGGTAGCACTACGACAAAAATGCTCAAAAAATTATAATTAAAAATAAACTCGTAAACATACTAACAAGCAAGATAAGAAGGCTTTGATCGATCATCAACTTTTTTCCAAGTAGCCAACAATAAAGAAGATCTAATAAACGCCAGGATGTAAGCAGATCAAAGTTACCTGGGAAAACAAATGAAAAGAGATGATGATTTATTTAAACCCGATTTTTTCTACTCTACAAATTGCGTATTATGAAACGGAAGGCAGTAAAGTTTATTTTAGATTTTATTATTTATTTGTAGCTACTAAACTGTTATTGTTTGGCCTTGGTTTTAAAATGGTCTGTAAAATTTGTAATGGTTGAGGAAACGATCACAAGTAGTTTTATGGGGCAAAATTTTGCAAAACAACACTGATGCACATTTTTCAGGGTTTGCTTTTATGGATTTTATAATTTTTTGTTACTATATAGGATATGCGCTACCGTACTAATGTATACTTTTTTATTTTCTTAAAGTTTGGTATTATTGATTCAACTTTTACTTGTATCTGTTACTTGTTTTTCTTTTGTCATTTTTTAATAATTTTGAAAATTGATTGCCTTAATAATTTCTTATAAATTTTTTATCGATTTTAACTTTTAAGTTGATTATAATAATAAAAATATGTTAAAATTATAATTATTAAGACTTTTTTTAATAAAAATAATTCTTTTTTTTTAATTTTATAAATTAAATTCTGTATTTAGACATAAAAAATATTCTTTTTAAGAAAATATTTGATGAAATTGATGGTAGTAAAATGTACATGGCAAATGCGTTTATTCCCCTCCTTACGTATATTAACTTACTTTGCTAATATTTAATAGGCTATGAAATATAAGAACGATCTTTCATCAAAATAAATAAAATAACAATCAATCATAGGCTGTTAAAACTATGTCCTCAAAATATGTTGTTGATTTTAAAATACATAAATCTATAAATAAATATAAATGCATTATTATTGCTATCTAAAACTATATTTATATAATGTTTACATAAATATCTTGCCATAAGTCTTAGAATTTTGAGAATTTGTAAAAAATTATATCTTTTCTATTTATGTATGAAAGAATGTATATACAGGGAGTCCCTTAAACAGTGTGCAATACTCCACACGTGACAAAAATAGAAAGAAATCTTCTTAATCATAGGTCGAAAAATGGCTTCCAAGGGAGCTACAGCCTCTTAAAGGAGCCCCGGTTTTTTATTATTATTTCCGAAACAATTTAAAATAAAATAATGAAATTATTATTTTCATTTAAAAATTAAAAAAAATTTTAATTTATGAGTGTTTTAAACAGGGTATTTTATCCCCAAATTTTTTGTATGCAAATTTTTTTGCAAGTTGGCGAACAATATATTTTTTTAAAATATAATATATGTATTTAAAAGATATACTAGTAAAAACATACATGTTTCCGGAAAATACATTACTTTATAAATCGCAAACCATTTCAGAAACAATAATAATAAAACATCTTTAGGGGCGCCTCTTTAGGAGGCTATTTTCGCGATACCCTGTTTATCAACAATTAAAGTATTAAAAATTAGAACAAAAAACTGATTTTTTTTTAAATAAATGGTCGAGGGTTTTAACAACCGATATAGTTGTATTACTTATGGTAATTGCTTCTACAAACATTTTATATAACCTATCGTTGCGATTAGGTTTATAAAAGAGTTTTTATACAGTTTGACGTTACCTGATTTTATAAAACTATTGCGTCTTTATTTTTTTTTATTTTAATTATTTATGTGTTTAATAAAACTTTTTTGTTACAATCTTTATTTAAAATTTGTTAAAAAGAAAATATTTAGCATTTATAAAAATATTTTGAAAATAATAGTATATTGTTTAGTGGAAGAAATAAATTTCATTACGTGAAAACCCTTTAAACTACAGGAAAAAATGGAAAACCTGACAACACTAGTTTTAAGTTGTTAAGATACGTATTTGCTATCAAAAGTTTTATAACATCACTTGTGATAAAGACAGTAACTATCTTTTATTTAAAATAGCAAAATTATATAACAAGACTTTAAGTAACCTAGATACTACTACAAATCCTTATCAACACCTTAGGCTATTTAAAATTACCATAAGAAATATAGGAGAGCATAGGAAATCGAATTTTATTACAAAACCAGCAGGACCAAATCAACGTAAAAAATGCAACACTTTATTTAATGTAAGAAAAAAAATAAATCCAACCCTTAAATTTAACACTTACTAAATGTTCGTAAAAATATATTTTTTTACAAAAAATCTTTAGGTTGAAGTATTTTGAAGTTCCCTGCCGTTTTGAGTCGTTTTGAGTAAATGTTGGACATAAATTTTATACCATTAATATTTTCGCTATGCTTGGGCTTCCCAAAATATTCACGTGGTCCCTTAATTTATAAGATGACAATAAAATGGATGGCGAACTAAGAAAAATTTATTAGATGTGCTTAAAGGAGAAAGAAATGTTAAAAGGAAAAAAACACCATTTTGGGCCAATAAAATTACATTATATAACTTTCCTTTAGTAAAACTAAAGGTTTTATAGTTGTTTAAAAACAGGTAGGTAACGATGAATTTCATACATATTGAAATAAGAGTAATATAAATATTTCTTTAAGTTATAAATTGGGTGATATAATATTTATGGCAACCATTATAAAAACAAAAATGTTTTTCTAATCGTACTAAAGAATTTTCTATACGTTTTTACACAGTAAAAACTAATATTCTTAATTTAAGAAAATTGCTATAATTGGAAATATATTTTTGAGTGAAATAATCAATTATTTAGTTTAAAAATATATCTTTCAATTAAGCTTTGCAATTTTCTTTTTCCAAGAAATAAAAAATCTTCGTTATCAAATAAAAGCTTCTTTAGCTAAATATTGAAATATTTGATTTAAGTAATATTTTTCTTCGATTTTAAAAATATAAAGGTATTTAATCTAATACAATTTTATTTTTGATTTAAGTATATGATTTATTTCATACTAAAATACCAAGAGTTTTAAGTCAAAGTAATATTTTTGTTTTGAACTAAAATTATAATTCTTCAAACAAATAATATGTATAATTGATTTAAAAATATAATTTTATTTTAAATATATGGTATGTTTAAAATATTTTATCGCGAGATTTTAGTAGCACGTGACTTATGGAACCAATGGGTTACCAGAAACTGTTTCGCTTCGGTATCGGTGCCGGTGCCGGTATTCTTTTTAGCCGCCATTTCGTTTATGTGTTTCCTCTGGTGTAGTTTATAAAAGTTTGTGCAAAAATATGGAAGAACTATTAGAACAATGTAATTTGGAAGATCTAATCCCCGTTTTTAAAGGTAGGTAATATGTTATTAATAATTAATGTTATTAATATTAGTAATATGTGTATTGTTATTGTTTTGCTTTTAAAATTATTATTATTAATTATTATTAATATCGTAATATGTTATATTTTATAAGATACCGTATTGTTTATTTTTGTTTAATTTTAAATACGAAGGTTTATCTTTTGTTTCATTTTATATGCTAATTTTTATTTTTTGTTATTTTAGGATTAGTTTCATGATGCTCTTGTAAATTTATATTATTTGTACAAAAAAATAATTATAATTAAATAAATATGGATTTTTAATTATTTAATGTATTATTTCTTTATTTTAAAAAATAAAACATACCTACTTAGTGGAGTTCTTGAACAATTTAAATCATGGTAATATATTCAAGCTAAAGGAATTTAAAGCTGTTATCTACTGTAGACTTAATCTACTAGACTGTAGGCAAAAATGTAATGTTTTTAAAATAATTCTGCAAAGAAGGATTAACTTATTAAAATGCTTATTTTAACTAATATAATATTACTATATTTATATATGTAAGTGTATAAGGTACATTCTTACTTAAATTAACTTGTTACATTATTTTAAACTACATTATGTATCTATACGTACATAAATTAAAATGTTTATTTACACACAAAATGTATACATTTTGTGTGTAAATAAACATTTTAATTTAAATAAAGCCTATATAAAAGAATTTATTAAAAAATTTTACACTTTTGCTTTAAATCTAAATTTGACTTTAAAGTAAGTATAAAAATTATTTAAATTAAACACATCGTTGCCTCAATATGAAAGCATGAATTTCTTCCAACAAAAATATTATACATTTAAATCAAACATATGTTAAATTTTAACCAAAAAACATTATTTTTGCGTCAAATTTAATATATTTTTAAATTAAATATATCGTAGTTTTCTATAAAAAATATCCAATACTTACGACAAAGGCATTATATATTTACATAAAGAAGCCCAACTTTTCCATTTAAGAATATATTAGTTTTAAACTAAGTCATAACATGCATTTAATTTAAAGCGCGCATTTACTTTTTCTAAGATCATGATATATTTAAATTACAAATATAAACTTATCTTGAGTCTAATAGATGATTTATTTGTGGCTATTTAAAACAATGAATGCTTTGGTTTAAACCTACAGTATTTGACTGAAAGCATCTTTTTTTACTGTGTAATTAAAAAAGTGGCTCAGTCTTAAAACTGTGAAGAAAATTGACCTCTTTCTTCACGAGTTGCTGACCAATGAGACGACAAGGTTTTACATACTCTACAGTAGTATTTATCATGTGACGATTATACGGTTCTTATTAATTAATTTACACTGACATTTGTCACTGATTCTGTGTTCGTGGTACTTGTACAAAATTGTACTGAATTCAATAATAAAATTAGAAAAACTGTAGTGTTAATCTCTTGAAAAATGGCAATTTCCATTTGTATTAATTGTTGCACTCGCCTTCGGCTCGTAACGCAATATTTAATCCTTATAGAAATGGCCGACTTGATCATTATATGAGTGATTCTACAAAAGTTGGACAACTTGATGTCATCAGTCAATAGAGTAGGTATATTAATATTTTTTGTAAATATTTTAATATATATCAAAAGATCCAGGTTTTTTTAACTTGTCTACCCAATTATAATGTATTTTTTCAAAAGCATGTTTGTAGAAAAACATAATAAATATTCAAAACATCAGTACCTTGGCGTGTCACAACTCCTGAATCAAATATTTGAGTGGTTTTATTTTAAAATACATTCAATTTATCTTAAATTTTTCAATTTCACTACAAACTATAAAACATTAAATAATGTATTTTTCATATTTTATCATAGATTCGAATAATAGCAATTTTTAAAAAATTAATAATCTTTGTACTCACTTTTACCCGTCAGTTCTGTGTCCAATGTTAAAATTCAAAATTCCTGCTAAATATTGAAATTTAAACGTCAAGTCCTGGTTTTAACGCAAGTGTTGGTAAACAATTACCTACAGAGCCCGCCCTTTGCACAACAGCCATCTTGAAAACAATGCAAGCGGCGAAGTTGTGGTGAATGCACGTATAGTTCCAGTCAAAATTTCAGTACTGTGGTAAGAAGTTATTTTCTTACGTATATATATTTCATTGTAATTTATACGAGTATACTATATGTGATTTGTTGATAACTAGCATCCACTAATAAAAAATATCAGTAAATACTTAATTCCGAATTATAATCTCAAATTTGTATCCCATTCATCAGTACCGTGTCGTCAGTTCCATGTTCTATGTTTTGGTTATCTTTTTTCGCAAACTTCAATTTAAATTCTGCTTGCGCAGAACTTGTTTATTTAATGTCATTATAAACTCATATAAATTTGGTGTGGGTCCCATATCTAATAATTGAGATATCGGTATACCCAAAATCCACCAGCCGCCACTGATGTGTGGTATTATTTGATTTTAAGATATTTAATGTATAATATGCTCAAAATTGCAATAAATCTTATATTTTCCAATAAATTATGTATTTAATTAGTACCCTGGTATACTCGTCACTTCCCTTGCATTCAAATTTTGAAAACAGATATTTCAGAAACTGTTTGAAAAAGTAACTGGCCCGGTCTGAAACAGTATATTCTTTATATTATCTACATATGTTCTCATAACAAAATACTGTTGAATTTTTTCCGAAAACTATATAAACAAAATGAGGTCAAAAGTTGCCCAACTTTTGTAGAATCACCCATATACTATTATTGGGAATTGTCAAATAAAATATAGTAGAGTTTTGCTACCTCTTTAAGATACAGGGTGTTAAAGTTAAAATATTTGTGAGGATTACAATTTATAATATTAAACCAAACTTTTTTATGAAAAAAAATAGGTTATATTTTATAAAAGGTGACATTTAATTACTAGTACAAGTACTAAATCGCAAATGATAAACCCTTTATGAAATGATTATGTCCAATTTAACTTATTTTTCTTAATTTTTAAACGAAACAATGTATGAAAACAATTAAAAAAGAACAAAAAATGCACATAGACCAAGCCATCCAATTTAATTATTAAGTTTAACCAGCGGCGCGCCGCGGCGTACAGGAAAAAAATTTAAAAAATAGAATTTTAACACTTAAAGTGGATTCGTCAATATTTTATTTTAAATACAAATACGTTTATTATCAATAAACTAAACTATCGGCTGATTAATTTTATTGATATATCCTGGGTCACAGGGTGTGACCCATACTTGTAGTACATAGACTATAGACTATATAAAATATTAAATATTTACAAAACATAAAAATATACTAAAATTTAGAACTCGTGTTTAAATACACACCAAGATAACAAAAAAATGTTAAAATCACGTATATAAAATGTAAAGGAACTTTAATCCACATGCGAAATTTTTTTTAATTTTATTTTAACTTAAGGTATGCATATTTTTTCTGAAATTAAAATTATACAATGGAAGTAGGCAAATTTAAATATATTTAAATTTTAATTTTACCTCGGCAACAATGTAACAAATACAATTCGTGTAGGTAGGTAATTTATTTAATTCCAAAAATAAATTATTAACATCACGAACCCATTAAAGCTAACAATTGCACTGTGTTTAAGCTTGATACCTTTAAATATTTAATTTCAATATTGCTTCAACGTCACAGGCACTCGCATAGAAACAACCAGGGCTAATTTTAGTTGAGTTTTGTTTGAATGATAGGGTAGAGTAAGCCAAGAGCGCGCAGTCCATGACCATACGCACCACGCATTTTAACCTTCCACAAAAGTTTTTTTGTTTTTTCAACTTAATTTTATACAGGGTGATTCAACTAACTGAGATTTTAGAGACATAAATCTGATTGCAATTAAAGGGCGATGTGATCTATTTTTTTTAAATATTTATATAATGCGCTATCACTTCCGGTTGAACCCTATACATATTATTGCATTTTTTAATCCTATACCGAAAATTCTAAAGCTATTGCATTTTTAATCGTTTTTCTATCTTTAATTGTTTTTTAAGATATTTTTTTTTAATTTTACAGATGGTGTGACTAAACTCTATGAATTTTTTAAGCGGTTGTTAACGAAACAGAATATACAACACATCTGCAGCGACTTAAAATTAACATGGTTGACAGATGCATTTTCTGACAGTTTGTGTAAACATTTGTAAAAAAAAATTTTAATTTTTTTGCTTAAAATGACCCCAATTTTTGAATTTAATAAGTATTTTTTAAATATAAATTCCAAAAACAAAAAGCATGTCCATATCCTGTGAATGTAATTTTTATTTAAAATAGCGAAAATACATCAAACTTCGTACTTTTAGACCACCTTACTTTACCAAGGAAAATTTCCAATTTGACGAATAGATTTCGTATTTTTTCCGTCTATTTGTGTGTTTGACCTGCAACCCACGTTAATACAAAAAAAATAAACTGCATACAGAGAGTCAGTTAGCATCCTGCTAAACCTCAGCTGATCCAATCTAAGTTCATTGTACCAACATTTACAAAGCTCCACCGCGTCTATCTAGTCGTGAGCTAGGCTATAGTGAATAGACATTGAAATATATTTATAACACCGTTTGATCAATTTTATTATGCCACTGAATTAAAGTATTCTTTATTTCCTTCTTTTTAATTATTAAAAAATTAAAAATTATTATTAAATAATTAAGGTTTTTACAACTTTTTTAAGGAATTGTAAAAACCTTTATTATTTAATACATAATAAAGTATAGTTTTTATCTTCTATCGGTCTATAATTTAAACTGTATTGTTATCAACAATCAACAGTGATATTGAATTTTAAACGTAAAAATAATTTAGACCAATCTGGTAGTTGCAAACATATGTACTTCATGAGGATAGTATACTACAGAAAGAAAATAATTAATAATTTTGTTTCTGCGTTTTCCGTCATCACGTTTGGACCAATCATAAAATTTTATATATGTCAGATCTATCCAACCTCATTATTCATAATTACTATTTATGAATAAATCTTATTCAGGAGTAACAGCCACAAATATTATTAATGTGTAGGGGTTGCGACTAAATCGAGCTGGTGGCCGTTTCTTGACACCGTTGTTCTATATTCCTATGTTGCGTTCACCAAATCCACTTGGCGATTAAGCCGGTTACAGAATAGGCCTGTAATTTCTTCGTCGGATTATTATTTCACGTTAAAAAAATGATTTCCATATAATGACTCTCGAGAAAGAATAAGAACTTTTTCGCGCGGTCTAAACCAGGTTGCCTGGCAACAGAACATGGGTAATATAATAATGGGGTAGTTAAATTTTTTCTGACCTATACTTTTTATGGTTTTATTCAATGCGTTTTGTAATATTAAACATTTCTGTGAAATCAGAATTTCAATTAAGTTTACCGTTTTCGAGATATTTACAAAAAATATAAATTTTTATGACGTCACAAACCCCGTCATGTGACCAACATTCTAAGATTTCTATTGGTTGAAAATTACCCTGTTGTCAAGTTGTCTTGTTAATGATTTCATTCGGTTATGTCAGAAAATACCCGAAGAGGTTATGTACAAATACTGTCACTGTCAGTTGAGTGAAAGAAGAAGAAGAGAAGGTTAAAGAAAATTCTGAAATTAAAAGTTTTATTGATAGGTTTACACATTGAAACACCGTGTGAAACATAATAAAATGTAATAAATAGGTACCTAATAACTGTCTAAAGCAGAGTTTAATTTATTTCATAGGAAAAAGTGGCAAAATAAAGCTGAAAATGAATGAAATAAATTTACAAAAAATAATAATATATCTAAAAGAATATAAAGAACTAGGCATTATACCAATGAAATGCATTTACGACAAAATATGATTATAATTATAGGTACTTACTTTTTTTGTTTAAAAGCTCCAATGTTCAATGTAACCAACCATTCCACAAGATTTCTCTGCTTTGGAGTCCGTTATTAATAAATCACTTATCTAATATCAATTACAAATAACATAACAATAACATTGATTTTCAATAATCTAAATTTAAAAAAAAACAACCCGAAAAAAAGAAACGTCAAAAAATCAATTCTTCTTCTCAACTAAAATATTCTAACGTGGCGCCATCTATCGTAAACTAAACACACTGGCAACCATAGAAAAAGCTGGCAACGTTGTCAATAGCCTAGTGACGTAATTAGGAGATTTTGTTTTGTAAATATCTCGAAAACGGTAAACTCAATTGAAATTCCGATTTCACAGAAATGTTTAAAATTACAAAACGCCTTGAATAAAACCATAAAAAGTATAGGTCAGAAAAAATTTAACTACCCCATTATATGAAGTCATTTGCAACACAATTTACTTTTGGTTGCTATGGAGATGTGTTGGCGTTGTCACGGTAACACCTGTGGTTGCTAGGAGACTTGTTTACAGTCAAATAAAGTCGAAACGTGTTTCTTTTGGAGTTTTTTGTGGTGTATGTCACCTGTCATTGTTTATTTTTTTTCAGCGTTTTTTTAATCGATTATCATATTACTCACCTATTTTGTACCACGCTGATTTGAATACAAAGGCATATTTGAATTGTATCATAGGGATAAATTTCAATAAATTATGTGTCTGTACTAAGATTTAATTTAAGGTACACACAATAAAATTGTTGTTCGTTTCTGGAACAAGTTAAGTGGAAAAAAGTTTGTATTTAATTAAAAATGCAATCTGAAATACAATCAGAAAAGTCGTCAGTTGCGTGTTTTTTAAATGGACTGAATTAATTCACAAAGCAATTAGTTTTTCTTATTTGCTATGCGATTAGGCTCAATTGTATTCATTTATTATTGAAAAATATAGGCCAATTTTGTTAACATAACTATCTATTTTTCCATTTGTTGAAAAAAATATATAGGGTTTAGAAAATAAAAATACTATTTTTTTATGTAGATACTACAGTCAGTCAGACCCCTCTTTCCCATTGGGCACTTTGGGCAAGTGCCCAGGGCCCCGGGATCGACAGGGGCCCCCCTCAGATCAAATACAATGTAGTTATAATTTGTCAAGAAACTGAAAAATTAATTAGACAAATGTCAAATAAATTTAAATTAAAAAATAGTGCCATGTATATAAGTAATAAAGTATTGTATAATGTACAGTCAATATTTTCAAATTCTGCAATGATTGATCATATAAAGAACCAAGATATATTGGACAATCATAGAATTCTTCTGATTAAAAAAATTATTGTTATATTTTTAAGCTCCAGACTAAGTTGGGAAGGTAAAAAGGCTATGAAAAGAATATGTTAGACAAAAACTACATAAGCTAATTTTATTTAAAAATCAATAAAATATTGTTTTTCTTTATTTATTCTTTATTATTTATTTATAAAATATCCTAATTATTGGAATCATGTTTTTTAGTGTACATATTTGCATATAGTTTATTTTATGTTTGTTTTTATAACTTGTATTATTATTTATAATTTTATTGGTACCAAATATGCTTGAATTACCTAACTAATTTTAAAATAATGTTATATCAATGTAAGTAAATTCACAATCTAGTCCCTTTTTTACAAGTAAGTATACTTATAAATCAACTGCTTATAGAAAAAGGAAGTATACCTTACACTTTTCAGTTTTGAAACAGAATTTCCCTAAATTAATTTGGACTTAAACCCAATATATTGGGTTTGGTTTCGAAATATACAATGTCTGTCGATAACTTGCGATCAATCTCCAAACAGCTAATAATAAGCGCGATGATATTTATCTATTCGTTTCATGTGATTGTTAATAAAAATAAATATTTAACCTTGTTTATCTACTTTCTTTGTCTATTCTAACAAAATAGTGTTCTGTCAAAGTCATAGGGGCCCCATTATCCTAACATGCCCAGGGCCTCCAATAGGTTAAAGACGGCCCTGCAGTCAGTAAAAATAATAACGCACTTTTTTGTTAAGGACATTTTGTTATATTAATTGGGGTCAATTTAGACAGTTCTTATAAAGTTTGATACATAGATACATAGTTTTAAATATATTTTTAGACAGTTTTTGGCAGGGTTTCGTAATATACAGTGTTCTCGGATCGGATAGGAAAACTTTTATTATGGGTTTTACGAAAAAAAAAATTCTTTATTAAAACTCCTGCTTGTTTAAATTTAAATTTAAATGTACAGGGTGCTTAAAAATTAAGAAATATTGAAAATTCTTTATTATTTTATAGAAAAGTTTTATAGGACAAACTAGTTAAGTTAATAAAAATGGCGTACTCAGACAGAGAAAGACAAACTATTTGAACTTATCTTAAAAATAATTTAAATATTTCAGAAACGGTTGAATTTAAGTATATGGTATGTTAAAGGGGAAGTATGCTTAGAATTTTACAAGGAATCGAAAAATAGATTCATATATAGGGTGATCCATTGAAAAAAAATAAACTTTTTGTTTTTCAATGTATATTGAACAATTTTCCAATTTTCTTTATAAATATTTTTTAGTACCTACATAACCACACTTTTAAATTTTTTGGGACACATAAAATAAAAAAGTTAAAGGGGGGCGACACTATAGGGGATCACCCTGTACATATATCATGTATTTGGTGGTAAAATATCACGATATTATATAAATTTAATTTTTATTTTAAATCTACGAAAGCGTACTATAATCACAAAATTATAGTAAAATTATTTTTTTCAATAAATTAAAATTTAATACATTTAATGTATTAAAAAAATTCAATATATTGGAAATAAATTCAATATATTGAAAAATTAGGTTTTCATCTTTCACCACTTGCGGCGCTGATTTTCATTTTGTACTGACATCTGTTGTTTTGGTACAGTTAATAAATAAACATTAAGATAGACAACAGATAAAATATACTTTTCACTTTGTACAGGGTGTTTTCTTATAAATGGGACACCCCCATAAAATCTTTAATAGAAAAGATATCGAAAATATTTAATTAATATTTAAATTTAATAAAATAGCATTGACATTGGTTTTTTAAATATTTAAAAAGTTCTTTTTTCTGGTTTCTAAAATATATAGTTTGTTTTAATTAAATTTTGTGCTAAGTGCGAGAATCATAGTTGTCATGGAATAAAAAGTTCTACCCTAAAATAAGCATGGCGTTTAAAACAATTAGTTTTATTTTGTTAAAAATTAATAATAAAAACATGGTTATTTTATGACGTGTTCTTTATCCATGGTTTATGATTTTCACGTTAAAATAAGATAGGTTTTTGGTTCAATTATTAATAAAATGTATAAAATATAATATAAACATACATATTATACATTTTTGAAATAGAAAAACTATATAAACATTAAAAAATATACAGGGTGTTCCATTGAAAAAAAAACAATGTTAGGTATATCTATTTTATCAAATTTGTCGATGCTTTTTGTTTCTTACTTTTTTTTAAATTACTTTTTTAAACCATGCAAGCTGGATTTTTAAATTTTTTAATATCTCTTTAAATAAAGATTTTAGAAGGGTGTCCCATTTATACAAAAACACCCTGTATTTAAGATTTTCCCTTAAAGAATTAATGAAAATAAAATAATTTTTCACCTAAACTATAGGCACCTAAATAGATAGCCAAAGTTTTGTTGCATAAATACTACACCAAAAAGACAAATTTTGGTTACACAGTCCATACAATTCGAAAAAAAACATTCAAAAACTGAAACACGTGACATTTATGAAATACCTACTAAACTTCTGGGCGACCAGTAAATGACAACCCTCTGCAGAGGGTACTAATATTTATTACAAAAACATTTACAAAAATGTATGTAAAGGCAAGATCAAAAAATTTTGGCCCTTTATGTAGACAGTTTGGATTTTTTTAGACATGTGTTTTGGATATTTTAGTAAAACTTAACCCAACTTTATCTTTCCCTAGAGCTTTGGGTAATTAAAAGTTCTAACTTAACTATGGTTTCGCGTAAAAATCGAACAAATTTTGGACATTTGTTTGCAAGTGATGCCAGAATTGAATATATTTTTGTTACCTTGTTTGTACATCTAAATGGTACTTTTTTTTCAAAAAAAAAATTTCATCCATTGACCCCTGTGGTTTTCAGGCCTTAAGTCACTCTACTGTGTTAAAAATAGATAAATTTCGATATTTTGTAATAACATTTTTATTTAAAAACGTATCGATTTGAAATTAAGATAAAATGTAGACCTTATTAGTGGCAATAAATCCACGTATTATTTTTTTTAGATTTTAATATACAGGGGGCACGGTGGACAATTTAATTTAAAATTTTACCATTTTTTAAGGGTTAAAAAGTCGAAGAAGCAACGTTGTTTTATAATTTTGAGTATATCACGTTAAAGTACTGATAATTAACTATTATTTGATATATAAACTTCTAAATGCAAATTATGTTTCTACGAGAGACACCATTTTTAAGTTAAGCCTTCAAAGAGCGTAATACTAACGTGTTTTACAAATTATAAATTCTTTTAACTAGTTTTATAAGATAATGTATTATATATTACATACAATATTTTATATATAACATACACTGAAAGAAATATATGTTTGTTTTAGCAAATGTATGTGGTTCATATATGGACTACCACATACATTGCTAAAACAAACATATATTATATTTAGTTTTAACATAATATGTTAAAACTAAATATAAAAATGGTTAAGGTAAATATATTTTATGTTTCATATATAGACTACCACATACATTGCTAAAACAAACATATATTTCTTTCAGTGTACAATTCTTACATATTTATTTAAAAAAATCGCCATAGATGGAGCTAAAATTAGTTTTATTTATAAATTTTAAATATTTTTAAGTTTACTAATTTTGATCATAGTAGGCATCACAGACTTATCTCTATGGTAACCTACCATTGGAAGCATGAAAGATAATTAAACAGTTCAGTTTATAAGTTGCAAATGACTGATTGCGTTTCAATTTATAAGTGTACTATAAACTTAAAATATTAATTTATTAAAATGAATACACTAAATAATAATTATAGACAGTATCAGCAAGTTAAAAATTATAACCTACTTTAATTTTATTTTTTGCTCCACAACCAAGCTTCAATTTATGTTTTACTCGATAAACAAGCTTCAATTTTAATTCCTAACTGAGGAAAGTAATATTTACCCAATAAATAAATTAGAATAAAGACTTGTTATGTTGCAATCGGCTATTTAGATATACCTATATTTTTATTCATTTGTTTTTCGATTTTTTGTAATTAGTTATTTTGCATTTTTTATATTTAACATAATGCTATACAGGGTGTTTCTGGAGAAACGCAAACGGTATGGATTTGAAATTTTAATAGAATATACAATTTGATTTAGACTATACATAATAAAGTCAATAGTTTTCAAGATATTAATTTTTTTACTTAAAATGTACGTTAATCAAAATAGCCTCTAATTTGTTTGTTATTACACTGAAAGAAATATATGTTTGTTTTAGCAAATGTATGTGGTTCATATATGGACTACCACATACATTGCTAAAACAAACATATATTATATTTAGTTTTAACATAATATGTTAAAACTAAATATAAAAATGGTTAAGGTAAATATATTTTATGTTTCATATATAGACTACCACATACATTGCTAAAACAAACATATATTTCTTTCAGTGTATGTTTGTTGACATGGGGTTGGAATTTTTGGAATATTAAAACATTGTTAAGTTTTTTAAAGGTTTTTTAACAAATACCTTGAGAAAAACCACTTCAAACAATAACAACGTTTTTATTATAAATGTATATTTAAAATAATCAAATAGAACATTAAAGAATCTTTCGATTGGTATTATAGTAACTCTTTCCTAAAGTTAAAATTTCAGAGACATTTATAACACATTTATAACAATTTCTAATATTTTCAATACTATTTTGTATCAACAAACCTCTGAAATTCTACATGTGGTTTAATGTAACAGTATCCATGGTTACCACCAAATCTGTCATTGTTTAAATTAATTAAAATATTTGATTGAAAAAATAATAACTCAAAAAATATTGACTTTAGGTATAGGATATGGTATAGCCATTTTACTCAGAATTTTATGTAGAATTAAATAATGTAAAAATATATGAGGTATTTCGGTAAAACAGGAAGTATTATTTTGCTTAAAATAATTTAGGAAAAGAGTCTAAAGCGAATATACAAATACGCTATTAAAATTTTAAATCGATGTCTTTCGCGATTCCCTAGAAACTTCCAACGGACTAAGTACGTGAAACACCCTGTATATTAAACGACATTTATGTGTTATGCTTTACTTAATTATTAATAAAAGATTTGTATAAAAATGACAAAATGTACTAAACTAAGCATTTATGAATACTGCTACTGCTAATTCAAAACTGATCCTGGCCACAGAAACATCATTTGCATAAAAAAGTTAATATATCAAATATTAGTCAAATATCAATACTTTCACGTGCTATACTCAAATTTATAAAACAAAGTTGCTTCTTCGATTATTTACCCTTTAAAAATTGTTAAATTTTAAACTAAATTATCACCAGCGCCCCCTGTACGTTATAATCTAAACAAAATTTTTTCATGGATTAATTGTCATTAGTAAGATCTACATTTTGTCCAAATTTCAAATCGATACGTTTTGAAATAAAAAAGTTATATAAAAAAAATTAAATTTCTTCATTTTTAACACAGCGAAGAAAAAAATTAAAATAAAAACAAAGTTGTCAATGGACGAGATTTTTTTTTTTAAAAAAGTACTGCATTAAGATGTAGAAATAAGGTAAAAAAGTTTCAATCGATTTCTTGAACCCTTGCAAATCGACCGTTCGATCCTTTCGCGAAACCGTAGTTAAACGGTTAAAAATAAATTATTTCGAGTATTTTTTTAACTCATGGATCAAATTTGCAAAACAATAGTATTATTTCACTATTTCTTATCTTTGTATTTTAATTTTTTTCAAATTACAACAATGGATAAACAACAAATACTTAAACAACTTGACATATATAAATATGCAAAAACTATTCATTCCAATTGAAAAACAGCTATAAATTATTTGTAAGGTTAAACCAAAACTTTTACGGCATTAATTAAAAACGACATGTAAATTTATAAAAGAAAGTGTTATGTAGGGAATAAATATTTTTTGAGTAAACAATCATTTACATTTCGAATAATGCAAATATTTTAATTTATTTACTCGATGAATCACGATATTTGATTTTTTTATTGAATATGTCAAAATGTCAAGGCGATATTTTGCTTTTGTAAATTATTTATTACTTATATTTCAAGATAGTCACTATTGCGTTTTTATCTAATACAATCTTATGTACTAAAACACGAAAAATACGTTAGCACATCTGTTTTGTGCGACAGTGTACCTGTAAAATACTCAGCTACCTGCACCTTTTGAGGTGCCCAAAAAGTCAAAATATTTAAATTTGTTAAGGGTTAAAGATAGATTTTGCCTGGAGATACAAAAACACAAAATTTGTAACCAATTTGTTTTCATATTATTACAATGTTACAATCCAGTTTTTAAATCATTCAATTGTTGTATTTTTTATTTGGGTGGTATTTTTTTGTGAAATAATTTTGCTCCCAATTTGCTTTCAACCATCACAAAACTTGTTTTCATGGCACTAAGTGACCTTTTAAATACACATTGACAAGTTGTGGTTTTATGACGCTTTAGTGACGGGCAGAAGTTATAACTATAAACTATAAAGAACAGTTTATTTACAATTAATGATGTTGTTAAACAATAAATAAAGGATTTATTCAATAATGACGGAATAAATATTTATTTAAAAAAAAACAAATAATTTATTAGTATTACTTTAATACACTTTTTTGTGGAAAATACTTTATCTGTGAGAAATAAAATTGTATTAAAAACAACCAAATCCTTATTTATTATAAATATACCATTTTAATAAGTAATTAATAATTTATTAAAAATTAACAAACTGATATTTTTAAAAAATAAATTGTTGTTATTAAGTGACAAACATCTTATTTATTATAAATAAACTGAATTGATTATAAATAACCCGGGAAGTAATTATTAACATCAATATATATAATATATTTTAATTTTGAGTTATTTTTTATAAATTAGTTTATTTATAATTTAAAAATTGTATTATTAATAGTTAATAATTAGCATATTACTGTATTTTTAATAAATATGTATATATTTGCAATAAATATGGCATATCCTTGTCAATCTCACAAAGGGACGTATTTTTTTATAAGTTTACAAAAGAGCATATTAAAACTTACTGCAGGTTAAAAATATACTAAAATAAACTTATAAATTATATATATATGTATATTGCAGTAATTTTCAAAATGCGTTTCTGTATACCCTTTATAAACTCTTTACTCGTAGATATCCATGGATGTGTACAAATAAAATACCATATTATATTGTATAGGGTGTCTCAAATTTTAATCGGGAAAATTAAATAGTCGATAGAACTTTCAAAAATAGGAAGAAAAGTTTATAAGAACCTGTATGCTTTAAAGCTTTGTTATTGAGAAATAATATTTTTTTCTTGAAAGTTCAACAAGATAGAGAAAAAATGTATGAGACAAAAAAGTTGTATTTTTAATCTACAAATTAAATTAAACTTATAAAAAAACAGTAGTCCCAAATTTTATTTTTAAATATACAGTTGGAATGCCCCTGCCTCTGGATTAATTAGGTATATTAAATTTAATTACATTAAATTACTAAACTTAATAACTAAAAACCTGAAACGTTTTATTAAATTCGGCAAAGGAGTTTTTGAAAGTTTTTAAAGAATATATATTGTTTAACCAACCTTGTAGCTATTCAAATAAAAAAATACGTAGGAGACTTGGCGCACCCTGTATATTATATTATTATAAAGTAAAGTTTTAGAATGACCTTTATGAGCCTTTAGAAACCATAGCATATTCAATTAAATAATTTTTACAACACTTTAAGAATAAAATATAAAGCTATAGCTATAGCTTGTAAAAAGTCTTTTTCAAAACAAAAATAATTAACTAATTTAAGAAATCCATGTCTCTCAATTAGCTATTTAAAGGAACCAAATAATTCAACCGCATTTACTGTAATTTAGAACCCGCGTCTCTCATTTAGAGAGGATTAGATAAAAATTTATTGACTGGAGTCGACGTATTTTCACGAAATTGAAATAATTAAAAGGAAAAACATATTCACTCGACACTGGGGTTACTTTTAATGTTCTATTTCGGTTGTTAATTAGTTTTTGAGCGGAGCTTCTTCTGAAAACATCCGAAAAAATAGAACGATTCTATTTTCGGGGTGCTCGTATGTATGTCTTTGTAACCATGGTCAGGAATAGATTAAGAATATTCACAACTTAAAAACCTGTAGGTAAGTGCACTTGGTTGACTTTCGCGCCTTTTTAAACACTTTGTAGGGCTTGTAATTGTTTATTGGTATTCTACATAAAAGGTTCTATAAAGTATTATACTCGATATTTTATCATAATATGCCATAATATCGTTTAAGATATGTTTAAGCTTGTTCTTTGATGCAGTATGATATTTAGATATCGTAAAAAGTACATGTTTGCATTTTTTCATAGTATTTAAGTATGATTTATATTGCTTATATTGTTTTCTGAAATGCTGAAAATTTTGGGTTAGTATATTTCAAATGACGTTATGAAAAGTTGTCAACGTAAAGTTGTCAAATATTAACTTTTTGACGATTTTGTTTAGTTGGTATCATACAAGAAAAATTACTGCAAGAAAGATTGCTGCAATGATAATTGCAGACTGTAATTCAGGCTTAAAGAAAAAGGTAATCCAACTTGGCGGTCACTTTGAATAAAACTTAATATTGACACCAACACAAAAAGTGTATTTTTAGGTCTTTATTTTATCCTGAACTTGGTTTAAAATCGGTTGCAAAATTTGGACCAAACAGACATTATAACGTGGTTTATTACCATAATAACAAAATAGTCATTTTAAGTAAATAGAGTGACTTAATTATAAGCCTTTTGCGCCGGTATAATATTTTTCTTGTCTAGCCATCTGTTATTAAAAAACAATCATTGATCATGGTTTAAATTGAAAATAGGATATTCTTACAGGTTTAATCTATAGATTGACCGATTACAAAGTGTTACTTATAATCACCTTAAGATTACTTATAATCACCTGCGTGTTTTTATTATGTATGTGGCACCAGCTAGCAGGAGGACATTAATATTGCCTATACACGTATACCTAGAGGTAGCTAAGAAATATCCATTCTAGAAAAATATGCACGGTTTAATTTGGGAGCCGGTTCAATATGTGCAATTTACCCTATATTTTCCTGATTACGAATAAAAAGAGAAAAATAGTATATTGTAGACCTAGGCTGTTAAGTCACATTTTTCCAGGCTGAAAAAAGAAATGGACAGTGACACTGTCCAGTGTCCATTGGGCACTTCTTGAAGCCTGAAAAAATCACTTAACCGCTGTGGTTTACACGTTACTTTTCTTTCTACATAACAAGACTGCAAAAAATACTAAAAATGTGAACAGCAAATTTTGACATTTAATAGTATATTATGTATGATATATCAAGTTTGATAAACGCCATTTTATACACGAATTTAATTTATGCACGAGCGAGCTTGCGAGCGAGTTCCTAAATTAATGAGTGTATAGAAAAGTTTATAAACGAGGTGCATACTATACTTTTTCTACAACAAATACTTATTCTTATCTTAAAATTATTTAAATCAAATATTTTTATAGAGCGCCATCTATAAAACAATAGGGGAATCTGTGTGTCACCGTCAAATATCACATTTTTATATTTTATAAACACAGATTATAAAGGTTATAAATCGAAATGTATTTCTTGAAAATGGACAGTTTTTTACAGTGAAAGTAAAGAAAATGTTTTATTAGCACTTTTCAGTGGAGTCCGTGCCCGAATTTAAGTTATAGTTTACTACCAGCGAAATTAAAAGGTCAGAACAATGTTCATATAAACTTTTTAAATATTGGAGTTGAGAAACTATTTAATACTTTTGTATATTTGTATTGAGATAATAAAATAATTTTCACATTTAGTATTATTTTACAAGAAAGGCACTTTATTTTAACGATTGTATGACATTTGACAACTGTCAACTAACTTCAAACTAACTTCAGCCCGTGACTAAAAACCTGTTGCTAACTTCAGCCCGTGACTAAAACGCCGAAAAGCCACAACTTGTCAATTTGTATTTAAAAGTGACTTATAAGTGACACTATGGTGTCATGGAAACAAGTACGATAATGGGCGTTTTAAAGGTGGGAGAAAAAAACAAATGATTTACGAAAAAATCTAAATAATCAGAAATTTATTTTAAATAAATTTTGTTATTAAGTGACACGCAAGAGACAAGTTTTTTTCAATGAAATCTATTTTTAAAATTGATAATACTAACAGGTCACGTAGACGCTTTGTTTTATAAACATAATATGTTATATTATTGATGTAGAAAATATAAAAAAATATAAATAGATTTTATTCTAGATAAAAAGTGTTATTAATAGATGTTATTATAACTTATAAATTACCCGAAAACAAGCCACAAATATTGTACAAATATTTATCAATTGGTATTTTACAATATTCTTGATCAGCATTTTTACCCTTTTTTATTTTTTTGTGTGGCATTTATTCTAAAACATATTTATGTTTTGAAACCTCCTCGGCCGTTTTAAAGAAGTCTTTTGAGCACTTGAGGCTCTATCTCATCAATAGGGTGCTGATTATTGGATTCCAAGTCCTAAACAGATTGTGATTTATTAGCATAGACTACAAGAAGTAATCAATTGGAGTCAAATCTTACGATCTAGGTGGTGAAGGCACTGGCCCATTTCGCGATATTATGTCGTTGAATTAAGTCCTCAATAAGTCAGTGATTTGTTGGGTAGTATAAGACTAATGTCATTCATATTGTCTAAAAAAATCCATGATCATTATCCGTTCGCCATTGACTGAAAAGGCGAGAAGAGACTAAATAAACATTGTTGAGCAAAAACAATAGAATAATGTGTATCAATCTTTAAAAAAAATACTTTGTTTATTATAACATACATATGTATATGCTATATACCTAACTATAGTTTTCCTCCAATTTTTTTTAGGAAATTTGGTTGGTTAGTAGCCAAGACTTCACAAAACCCCAAAGTTCGAAGTAACCTTAGATAAAAAGTGGTTATTGGTTAAAAATAAAAAATAAAGAAGCACTGTTTTATATTATGCAATTTTTAAATTCTATTTTTATCTCCATATACATTGGTTTCGTCACGTAAAGTCTTAATTATTATTATTAAAATTAAACGATACCTACCTGGTATACCATTATAATGGGTCAAACAGATACGGTATCAGTTTATGCTATTGGCGTTAAGCGAATTGTATAAATACATTTACATTGTACTCTTTTAAATAAAATTTATGTAAAATGCATAACAAAAACTTATACTACGTGATGTTGAACACATGTTTCTATGAAACAGAACAGACCCGGTTGCGTAAAAATAAATGTGTAAACATCTTTATTTTCGAACCCTTTAATCTAATGTTCTTGAGCTCTGCCTATACTCCGCTATTTATATTAATACAGTCAATATTTTGGACAGGATTTGTAAACATTGAACACATTAAAAATAAAAAATTGCCCCACTAAAATAGCTTACTTTATTTTATAAATTTATTATTAGGGGAAGCCTAAATGTATTTCCTTGCTAATGAAAAAATACATTTTTATTATCGTAAGAGTAAAAATAGCACAATGAGTATTTGTAGCCATATTTTATTTTTTTCGAACTAACTATTTTTGCTTACAAAGATTAAAGTAACAAAAAGGTGAGAAGAAGCCATAATTATATAATTTGTCACCATTAAATTTGTCTCTGTATATATGTAATAATAAATATGGGAAATTCCACGCCTTTGATTTGGCTAAATTATTTTTATGTTTAAAAAAAACTGTTTTTATAATAAAATCAATTTAAGTAAATGTTAGTTTACACTTAATTTATAATCTAACCAAATGACTAATTTATATGATTTTATGGTTAACTCGATTAACAATAATTTAATTTTTTTTACACCCATTTAACAAACGATTTATTTTATTTATCCTCAGTTCACATGTTAAATGAGCATATACATATACATATATACTGGTTTGTGACCCATTATGAAGGTAATAAACACTCTAGTGTCCTATAATCCATATAAGACACTGGTGTTTTATAACAATTAATAAAACAAAATACGTCAGAATTCACTCGTATTTATTTTATTTGCACTTACAATAAAAAACTATTTTTTGGCGTTGAATTTAAAATGGCAAACTTAAAAAATTGTATAGAACTTGACATCAAAATTTTTTAACTAAATAGTACATTCAAAATCAAAAAAATAATTAAATAATAATTTTTTACTATTTTTAGTATGGTAAAAAAATAAAAACAAATTTTAGCCAAGGGCTGTATGATGTACGAGGTGTGTTCAGAAAATAACGGGAATTGTTATTTTTTTATCGCAGCTCTGAATTAAGAAAGCTTTTATTCCAAAAAACATACAAAGTTTATGTTAACATTTTTCTCCCGTGCAGAATTTCAAATGGCTTTTTTAAAATTCTTTATTAAAAAAATTAACAAAATCTTTGTTTTAAATTTATGCAAAAAAATACTATTTTTTCGAAAATGCAAAAAAATACAATTTTTCCGAACATTTTTACATATTGACTCTTATTTAAGATATACAGAGTGTTTCACATTCGTGGTCCGTTAGAAGTTTCTCGGGAACAGAAAAAGATATCGATTTGAAATTTTAAATGCGTTTATAATCCATTTATGTGAGTATGTCCTTAGGACATTGTCCTATACCTAAAGTGAATAGTTTTTGAGTTATTATTTTTTTCGTATTAAGCTAATTCATTTTTTGAATATGAAATTTTCAAGTCTCCTGGACCCCCCATGCATGCATATTAAGCTTGACATTTTAAAGGCGTGCCGTTTTTCTTATTAAACAAAAAACGCTCTTTTAAACAGTGTCTAATAAAAAATGGCTATTAAGTATCTTAAAAGCTTAAAACGTTAGTTTTAACATAACAATACATAGGTGCGATTAAAGTAAACCGTTGTTTTGACTATTGTAAGGAACATTTTATGTTCCTTTGTGTTCTTAACATACATTTTATAGTCTGTTTTTTAGTTTTACGATTGCCGGAGTAAATACATCCACATTGTACTATCAACATTGTGTCTATTATTACCATTTATCTTATTTTTTTATTAGCGCAATCAAGACTAATCTTGATTACCATAAAACCTCTCTTATTTAAATTTTTGTTGAAACTGAAAAACACAATTGTACTAAAATAGTACGATATAAATGATAATATGGAAAATGTTTCATAAGTAATTTTAAAATAACTTATTTATAGCGCGTTAAATATTAATGGGTATGTTAAAATATAGCAATAAACAATCTATATATAGATTAAATTAACATTTAATCTTGGAGTATTCGTTTTTAATCGCTAAGTATCCTGTTTTTCTTTCATTATGCTAAAATTTCCATTATTAATTGTTTTTTATCAGACACACTTTTTTTATTTAATAGCATTTAATTTTATCCCAAAATTTCAGGCTGTATATTAATGTATGAAGCATTTATTATATCAGGTTATAGAATACTTAAAAATATATATTGTGCGACTTAACACGCGAGTGGAATCTCCTCGATAACCACACAATA